TATATATATATATATATATATATATATATAACGAAACATAAACAGCTACATTATAAAGTGATGTAAAATACTAAAAACAGGAACATGTCTGTTGGTTTATGCCATGAACTGAACAGATGTTTAAAGCCATTTAACATTTTATTTTATTTTATTCATTTATTCATTCATTTAAAAGAAACAAAACAAATTCATCAAAAAGAAAACATTGAATGAAAAGAGTGCAGAAAGAAGAAAAATCTTATATCTGCCCCATATTTAAAAAATATAAAACAACTTTAAACAATCACTTAAATTAATCACTTTAATATCCACTTTAAAACTAGGAATAAAAAGAAACATGTTTTGTGTTAGCAGAATTTAATTCTAACTTTAAAACTTATCCAACATTAATAAAACTTACCTCAAGTTGTCTTTTTGGACATGCATGCATATATTTGTACAAATTGTACTTGAGAGCAGATTATTACAGCCTCATATAAAATCAATGATGATGATATTGGAACTGGATCGGTATCGGCCGACATTTAGATTTCGGGATCGGATCGGAAGTTTAAAAAAGTGGATCGGTGCTTCCCTAATTGTCTACCTGGATTATTGAGCATGGACTTTTATTTTTGATCTTCTAAACCACTGCACAAATTTAATTTAAACTTTCAGAAAGTAATCATTGGATGGAAGTCAACCAGATTTATGATGTATTCTGTAGCCAACTGGACAAAATAAAATGATAATTCAGTTAATTTCACAGTTTGGTGTGATGGTAGCTGAGAGTCATTCAGAACACATCCTGACTTCTGAGATGATGTCAGGATGATGTTTTCAAGATTTGAGAAGAATGGCTCCAACTCTGTCATTTTGATGTCCTTTTAGTTTAAAACAACGGGCGAAATGTGTTTCTTAAAACAAATAAAGTTCTGCAATAGTTCTGTTTTCTGTTGTCTAATGAATTGTATTTCCAGTTTTTGTAAAACAGGTTCACTTAGTTTACTTTTCTGTTTGTTGCACAATGGGGGCCTCGTGTATCAACAATCATGTATGCACACAAAGGTTGCATGTGCCAGGCTCCACGCACATGTTAAGACATGTCAAAACAAACGTGTGAAGGTGTGTGTAAACAGACGCACACTCCTGATCTACTGTGAGAATGTGCTTTACCTCCACGCAAACATCTTCAGTTTACAGCATTAAACTACAACATACTGAAACTCACATAATCCACAGCACCAAACTACAAAACACTAAAACTCACGTAATCCACAGCATCAAACTACAAAGGGTTGAAACTCACATAATCAACAGCGACAAACTACAGTGTACTGAAACTCTCATAATCCACAGTTTCAAACTATAAAATACTGAAACTCACATAATCCACAGCATCAACTACAAATCACTGAAACTCACATAATCCACAGCATCAACTACAAATCACTGAAACTCACATAATCCACAGCATCAAACTAGAAAGTACTGAAACTCACATAATCCACAATATCAAACTGCAACAGTACTGAAACTCACACAAACCTGTAGATGAACAGATGCTCAGATATATTCATCAATTAACGCGGATTCCTCATTTTTCTGAACTGAATAAAACGTGCATTGAATTTAATGAAATGCAAACGTGAGACGTCATTTATGTTTGACCCATCAAAATGAATGCGGTCATTTATTTACAGAATCAAAGTTTAACATCAAACATTTACATTAATTTGGCAAATTATGAAAATAACAACATAAGCAATCAATCAGGAAAAATCATACGGCCATGATTTTTCCGTTGCTTCACCACAGACATTTATGAAACTGTACAATTATGATCTTTTACCCACACGGATGTGGATGAGCATTTTACACAGACATTTCTAAATATCTGGAAGTATATCTACTTGATAGAAAGTTAAAGATGGGAAAGAAGTTTAGAGGGAGTAAAGATGGTATGGGAGGGGAAGTGTTCACCAGAACCGACACTCTCCATCAGAACCCAGCTCTCCCGGTACGCTTGGTAGGAAACTTGACTCATTACCTTTCTGAGATTAATCAGCAGATATGGAGCTCCGTTAACGCTACCTGTCCAGCGTCTCCTTAGGATGCTGTGAATCGTCAGAAGTAGTGGCGAGTGAAAATGTTATAATCCCATGGAACTCGGAAGAGCTCTGTTGTCATGTCAGGATCATCCCGTCTCTCAGAACTGGGCTTCTCTCACAGAACTGGTTGAACTGTGTATCCAGCAGAACTCCAACAGCACTCCATCAGAACTGAACAAAACTGTCCAGAACCGTTCCAGCACCATCCCAGAACTTCTCCAACCAGCAGAACTCAACAGAACTGAGTAGTTTACAGATCTCTCACAGAACTGAGTAGACCAGGAAGTACTGACATTTTAAAGAGCTGTTTTCCGGTCCATCTGGGAGTATTCCCATTGGCCAGAACCGACCAGACGGGGTGTGTTTTGTGACGTAAAAGGTTAGAATGCAGCAAGAATTGTTATGGAAAGATCAGAAATGTTCTCACAGACAGAGAGAGTTTTGTTTTGGCGCGTTTCAGAAACAGGTGCCAAAAACCTCTATATTTACGTCTGAGAGGATTCTAAAAACATGACAGTTCGCTCCAACAACTTGTTTTGCGTTTGACTCCAACCTTGGACCAACTTACACTTGCTCATTCAAAGGCAGAAATCAGAAAATGCATAAAAATCTGTAACAGACCTCAACATGAATTCTAACTTTGCATGAGAAAAAAAAAATCATTACACAGTTAATAAAATTGATTAGTTCACTGCAACATCTAAAATGGTTTGAACTAAGACACTTTGATTATCAACATTTGTAAAATAGTAATGATAATAAAAAGAGAGTGTTCTTTTCACTTGAATCTTCAAGAAAGAAAGTCTCAGGATGGGTGAACCTGTATTTCTGGATTCAAATCAATGAAATGACAGTTCCTGTCCCACAAGGTTCTTAAGGTCAAGGGTTTTGACCTTAGGCTTAGTCGTGACACCAGATTAAGTTCACTACAAACCTCAGCATCAAATTACAAAGTACTGAAACTCACATAATTCACAGCGTCAAACTAAAAAGTACTGAAACTCGCATAATCTACAGCATCAAACTACAAAATGCTGAAAATTACATAATCCACAACATAAACTTACAAAGTACTGAAACTCACATAATCCACAATATCAAACTACAAAGTACTGAAACTCACATAATCCACAGC